GGCGAAGATCTCAAGTCCAAGTTCAGCTTTATGCACAGTTTGGAGGAGCGTCAGGACTGGGAGGTTGATCTGGGGAAGGTGTTTGATTTGATTCTTGAAGTGGCGGTGAATGAGAATGTGAAGGCAGAGCAGATGGTGAGGAAAGTGTTTGTGTTCACCTTCTTTAAACAGTTCCACGACGGCTGCTGGAAGCCTCGCTGCGGCAATTATGAGGAAATACAGAGAAAGTTTAAGGAGAAGGGGTATGCTGTGCCGCACTTGGTGATTTGGAATCTTATTAGTGTGGGGTATGCGCCTCTGCGTACCGAAGAGCCAGGGGTGACGTTGTTGGGTGGCTTCTCCGACGCTATGCTCAAGTCCTTCTTGGAGAATGACGGCCAACTTGGTCCCAACCAGGTCATGGAATTAGCCATCTCTCCCCAGTGCTATCAAACTCTGGCTGTCTTCGACTGACTATGGGTTGTCTGAGTGATTTTTCTTTATAAAAATTAGAGCAGCTCGGCATTTTGATCTCTAGTTATATACAAACTTGTTATTGTTTATTTTGTTATCAACAACAATGCTGAATGAATTGTTGATTATGGCTCAACTTGCACCGAAAGAACTTTGTGCTATCATGTGGGAGGATGCTGTCATGTGGTGGCAGCAGCTTTGCAGGAGAATAACTACCTTGCAGAGCCTTTGCATGTTGATTATTGGCTCAAATTGCACCCACGTGTGTTGATAGTTTCTTCATGATGGCTGCCACACTAGCCATCACATGGCCAAAGGAAGACTTGTGTCAGCCGACCAAATATTGTGGGAGGTTGCTGTCAAGTGGTGGCAGCAGCTTTGCAGGAGAATAACAACCTTGCAGAGCCTTTGCAGCGGAATATTGAAGCTTTGGCAGAAGATGGGAGCACGTGGGAGACAAAAGCCATGCAAACTTGGCTGGCTTTCTGACTTCATAGTTGGCCTCATAATTTGACTAGCTGGCCTTCACCCGTTGGCTTCTCTATAAATTGAGAAGCATGGCAGCAGCTGAATATAGGAGTAGAGGGAGAGAAACAGCAAGAAGCCATTCGGCAGAGAGAAGAAAATTCTCTCAAGTTGTCTTTGCTTTGTATTTTCAGTTTCTCTTCCTATTGTAAATGTGTGAGCTTGGGTTATTTGGGTCTTTGGGAAATTGAGTGATAAACACTGTTGTATGTTCTCATTGATTATAGTGGAATACTCCGTCGTCTCCAAACTGGATGTAGGCATTGCCGAACCAGTATAAATCTTGGTGTTCTTGTTGATGTTGTTTGTGTTCATTTTATCTCCTGCTAGTTGTGTTTATTTTCACTCGCACTTGGTTGACGCTTCCGCACAACATGAATTACTTGGCAACCTTAAAAAAATATGCCTCATCTTCTCTGTTATCCCCTATTCTTCCCCAACCTAGTTTGTTTGAGCTCAATGCTTCTGCATTGATGTTTTAGAGAGCTGGGTTTTTAACGGTGGCAAATAAAGCTTCTAACTTTCGGTCCGACTGAGGTCGCCAATAAGCCAAAATTTTAAAGTGTTGTAAACGTTACCCGCTTTACTTGGTTAAGTTTCGTCCAATTTTCTCTTCAAGGATTAGCTTTGGTTATCTCATGCTTTCATCTCTTAGTTACTTGGTTTTAGGCCTAACGATACGTTTATTGTAAAGATTTTTGCTCATCATTATGTGTGATATACCAATAACAAAAATTTGTTCTTTTTTGCTCCATTTTATAGTTAATTATTCCTTGCTATGAAGGGAGTATTTGGGTACTGCTGGCACCTTACTCTGGAGCAAAGGTGAAACTGATGTTTTCATATTATGCAAGTGAAGGGAGAGAGAATGAGCCCCAGAAAGAAAAGGATATGGTTTAGGGCTAGGCCTCTATTTTCATATATAGGTTGTAAAACGAGCAGAATGATAGCAGCTTTAGAGGGAAGTGAGATACCCTTGTTAATTCAAGAAGGCGTTTCTTGTATATATCACAGCGAATTCCATTTTTGTTGCCTTCCTTTTCCTTTTTACTCAAATTTCAAGCTCCTCTGTTAGAAATACACAAAAACATACAAGCACACAGTGTTAAATTGTAGACTTTAAATTTTTATTTAGTTTCATAATGTTAAATTGTAGAGTAGGTAATCAATATTTTCCAAAAGAGAACAAAAATGTATTAACAGTCAATTTATCTTTCTTTTCAATTTTGTAGAAGATGATTGAAATCTGTTTACAATGTACAGCTATATAGGAGATTTGTTTGAAACTGATCTTCAGTTACACAATCAGTTTTGATTGAGAAGAGGAAATCTCTCTAACACCCTCCTCAAACTTGGCGGGCCTGCACGAAGAAAACGTGCTAATTGGGTTCCTCCAACTCCTACTCCAACTCCACTTTCCTCTCCCACCTTCCTTCGGCAACCCCTGCCTCGATCTCTTCTTCCGCCTCGTCGAACCAAACACCCCGGTCAAGCGGCAGGCCAACCTTAACTATCTGAACCAGTTCCTTCCCTTGGCCTGGTCCCACAACCCCCTCACCACCCTCAAGCTCATCTGCAATCTCCACTACGATCCTCACGGCCCCCAGCAAAGACCATGCACAAAGCTTCAACTCGGCGGCATCTTGACTCCACCGAATTACCCCAAAACCCTGGTCTGCAACCTCCCGGCTATTGCCGCCGGCTTCTATAGTTTTCAAGAAGTTCTCAACATTCTGTACCGGATACTAGAAGGCAAAGACCCACCTTATTCCATTACCTTACGCACAGAAGCCATCGAGGAGACAGAAGATAAGATCGCCATGCCTAAAAAGGCTCTTGACAGGTACGACCGCGACCCCCATTATCGCTTCTTGCACGACCGCGTTTCCGATCTGTTCGCGGACTGTCTCAAGTCTGATATTGAAAACTTTAAAAGAATTGAAGCAGAAGCAGAGCCAATCTCAATCTGATGATGATGATCAAAACTACTGCTTGGAGTTAACTCGGACTCCTTGTACGATTGCACCACTCTGCTTTCTGAGAGCATTGCCAAGAAGATTTTCCCACGAATTTCATACCAAGGATTTGAGGAAAACGAGGTCGATCACGCAGACAGAGCCCGACAGCTGCTTATGAAGGAGGTTTTGTTGCCCTTGGAGGTCCCCTTAGAGGAACAGTCAGGTTATCAATATGAATGGAGGACCAATCATCGAGATCCCTGCCCATATGGCGAGTATTTGGAGGAGGTGAAAGCCGGAGGCAAGTCCAAGATTAAGGCCGGCGCTATGCTTCCGCATAAGATCATAGAATATGTTTACGATTGTGATGAGCTGCGCCACGTGGCTGAGCTTCAGTGGAAGGTTATGGTGGAGGACGTCTACTTGAAGCAATGCAACTTAGAAACTGCTTGGCCATATGCAACGTCACCGGGAACATGACGAGGGTTCCTATGGATGTGTCAGTGGCTCTGGGACTTTTGGTGTCTGAACTGAACCAGGAGCCAGCATGGAAAGGAAAGGTGATCACTTTCAATCGAAACCCTCAGTTGCTTGCAATACAAGGCGATGATCTTAGGTCCAAGTGCGCATTTGTGAGGAGGATGGACAGCCAGGAGTGGCATTGCAAGGTTGATTTCCAAAAGGTGTTTGATTTGATTCTGGAAGCAGCTGTGAATGGGAATTTGAGGCCAGAGAAAATGATCACCAAGGTGTTTGTGTTCACCATTTACTTTGACTTTGATGAGATTTCGGCCAATCAATGGGAGACTGATTACGAGGCAATACAAAGTAAGTTCAAGGAAAAAGGATACGGGAATGTAGTGCCACACTTGGTGGTTTGGAATATGAGCCAAGACAAATCGACACAGGCGGTGCCTTGTACACAACCAGGGCTGACCATGTTGAGTGGCTTCATCACCAACAATTTGGTCAAGTCCTTCTTGGACAATGATGGGGATATTTTCCCTGACCATGTCATGGAAGCAGCTCTCTCTCCCAGAAAGTATCAATCTCTGGTTGTATTGGACTGATTGACTCATAGGAATGAGGAGGAGCATCATCATCATCATCATCAGTTTTAATCTAATCGATTCCTAGCTGTGGCCCTGAAAACTATTGCGTTCCGACAGATAGCTAGCTACCAATTAGTGATTGTTACTACTTTAATTTAATGAGAAATTCTAATCATTTTAATTTAGCTCAACAAATTACTTTCCTCCTATGCTCTGTTATCCCCTCCCCTGTTTTTTGGTTATTGCATAAGTCTGCCAACTACCACACGTTCTCTTTTGCTCTCTGATCTGAACAAGCAAGAACATAAATCATAGGGTTAAATGCAAAACGCTCTCTTTTACCCACAGGACACTACCTACTGAACCATTCGAAAACAGATGAAGGTAAGGGTTGTTCTTGAGAGAGAGAGAGAGAGAGAGAGAGAGAGAGAGAGAGAGAGAGAGTGAGTGGGGTGGATCGGAGTTGGGGTGGTGGGTTGTTGTTTGTTTGGGGAGAAAGATAGAAGAGAGAAAGGTGGTGAATGGTGGCTGGGATTGGAGATGGTGGCTGAGATTGGAGGTGGTGGCTAGCGGCTGGTATTGGAGTTGGCGTCTTTCATTTTTTGATTTTTGTAGTTTTAGGTTTTTAGTTTAGCTCATATTTACTTAGCTTTAAATATGAGCTAAACTAAAAGAGAATTGTGTGGTGGAGGAGATGAAGGGAGAGACTTATTAGTACTAAAACAAGAGAATTGTGTGTGTAATGTTGTTGGTTAAATATTTTTCTTTTAATGCTTACGACGCCATTAAAGAACATATGATGAGAGAAAAAGAGTATTTCCATATTTCCCCTTCCTAACTTATAGCCCATATATAATCCGAGGCTTATGCTACAAGCCTAAATCCATTATATTTCGAGTTGAAGTTGGAGCCCTAACTAAGAAGCCAAGGTGCCCAACCAAACCATTACCATAGGTTATATTTTTCAATACTTTGAAGAAATTCGTAGAAAGAAACAGAGACAAAAAGAAATATGAAACCTGTGCGAGTCAATGTGATATCGGTTCTGAAAGCATGTGGAAACCATGTCGGAAATTTGTCACAACTCACAAGAATCAGCCCTTCTCCAACTTCACCTTCACCCACCCAACCACAATCCCAAGTATCCGGAACCCGAATACTGCCAAGCAGCAGCAGCAGCAACCCATGCCTCGACCTCTATTTCCACCGTCCCATGGGATCAGGCATCCACTCCAACTTGGAATTCCATGAGACTTTGACGAAGCAGCTGCTGCCGCTGGCTTGGTCCCACAATCCCCTCACCACCCTCAAGCTCATTTGCAACCTCCTAGACAGGTGGAAGGATGGTTCAAAATCCGATAACGAGGCCTTCTACGCGGCAGCGTTTTGGCTGCACCACAACCATCCTAAGACCCTTGCATGCAACCTCCTTCCTATTGCCAGCGCCTTCGGCCATATTCTCGACGTTCTCGACATTCTGTCTCGGGTTCTTCTACAAGGCAATGGCCAGCAGCAGGTTGATCAATACTCTATGACTTGGACCAGGAAGGAGAAGAACCAAAACTTTCAGTCCCAACAGTTCCGGTTAACACAAAATGCAAGGGAGAAAAATAGGACAACTTGTTCTCTTCCTCCTAGTCCTAGACAGAGTCTGCAAATCAAGGCGGAAAAAGCCAAGGAGAAAGCGAGCGCGTTGTTGAAGAGAAGGAAGACGGCTGCCGTGGCCAACAAGGCTGTTGAGAGGTACCACGGCGACTCGGATTACCGGTATTTGCACGACCGGGTTTCTGATCTTATGGCCGAGTGCTTGAAGCATGATATCCAAGAATTCAACCAGCATCAGCAGCAGCGTCGTGAGTGTTGTGAAAAATGGACAAACACTTTCACTCACTCCCCTAATGATCTTGTTGTTGATGGACTTTGTGACACACACAATGATGGATGAATCACACACACACACATTTGAGACAACAACCAAGCACAAAAGACACAAGAATTTATAGAGGTTCAGCAATTGCCTACATCCTCTTGGTGATCCCCTTGAGAAATTCACTTCATGAAAGAATAAGTTACAACTTTGGTTTTACACAGAAAACCCCCTTAGAACTCTATTCTCTCCCCAAGCTCTCTTTTCTCTCACACCCCTTGCTCAACACTTTGATGCACTTGTGAACACTCTCACAACCCTTGGTGTTTCCCTCCTTGGTGTCTAGACTCTCAAGACCCCAACTCAGCTCCTAACTTGAACTGATTGCTCTCTCTCACGTTCTCCCTTGGTGAGTTAACCTCCTCTGAACACAATAGCTCCCAGCTACTTGACCACCTTGAGATTAACCACACCTAACTTCAACTTGCTTTCATATCTTATAATGTCTTGCTTTATCTCCATTACCTACACAAACCAATGGACAAGGGATAAGGCATAATCTTTGTCCTCCACGTTCCTTCATTTAGTCTCACACTTAGACTAAAGATCAGATCATGTAAGTAATCAAATCCCACTTCAGCCACCTTCCACTAAACCAGAAAATGGAGAGTGAATCCTTCAAAGCAAGACAAACAATTGGCAATGAGTGCTCTCCCAACTATCCAGCAGGTAGTCCACCTTCTTTTATCTCAGAAGTGACCCACTAAGCCTCTGAAATCTTGTGGAAAGCGATAGCCCTCGAAAACACAGTTGAAAACACGTAAGAAAACGTCACAGCACGATTTGGGAGAGTCGAAACACTTTGAATCTGTGCTAGGGCGACCGGTCGCAAATAGCTGGCGACCGGTCGCTTGTCATTTTCGATTCAGACATTGAATCTGCTTCAAAACGACCGGTCGCCGCTGCCTCCATCACTTGCAACCTTAATGTGAGCCAAATTTCCAACAGTGAGCAAGAGCATAACCAAAATAAAAAGAAGATGAAGACGTTGGAGTTGAACATAACCGGTGTGGCTGATTACTTCCGTTTCATGTCGCCCCACATGGATCAACTGCTGTATGAAACTGTGGCGATGAAGGTTTTCACGCTAGGAGAATCAGAATTTTCGAACCCAATGTCTGTGCAGCGGCGGCTGCGGAAGGAGGTTTTGGTGCCCTTGAGACGAGCCTTGGCACCAGCCAACCAAGAAGGTGCCACTGCCAACAAGTGGGGTTATGATCAACGCCTGGTGTACGGCCGAGAGCCGGATACCCCTGTCTCTGTGGTTCACAAGTATATGGTGGCGCTGAGAACAACCATTACTGCAGCCGAGTCAAAGTCCGAGTCCGTGTCCGAGAGCATGATTGAGGCCGGTGCTGTGCTTCCACACCGGATCGTACGCTACGCCGTGGAGTATAATGGTCTTTACAAGAGCAGCTGAGCTTCAGTGGAAGAGAATGATGGAGGACGTGTACAAAAAGCAGGGGAGGCTGAACAACTGCTTGGCTGTGTGTGACGCGGGGGCGTCGGTGTCGGTGGCTCTGGGGCTGTTTGTGTCTCAACTGAGCCAAGGGCCCTGGGAAGGAAAGGTGGTGAATTACAGCAAAAACCCTCAGCTGCCATTGGTACGAGGCGAAGATCTCAAGTCCAAGTATGTCTTGGCCGCAATTTTGTTCGGCCTCGGCCTCGGCCTACGCTTGAGGCCGAGATGATCATGCCTTAGCATTTCCTTCTTTTATTTTAGGAAGGCAAAATACCCTGGCGAAACGCTGCGTTTCAGCCTCTGCAAACGAGTGCCAGGGCCGAGAGAAAGGGCTCCTTCGGCCAGCTCATGGCCGTGATTTATCAGGCACAAACACTACCCTCCCATCAGATAGTGTACCCTATAAACAGAAATACAATGCAGTGATATGAAAGGGAAGTAAAAAGTGTTTGTGTTCACCTTCTTTAAACAGTTCAGTGACAGCTGCTGGAAGCCTCACGGCGGCGATTATGAGGAAATCCAGAGGAAGTTTAAGGAGAAGGGGTATGCCGTGCCGCACTTGGTGATTTGGAATCTCATCAGTGTTGGGTATGCGCCATGGCGTACTGAAGAGCCAGGGGTGACGTTGTTGGGTGGCTTCTCGGAGGCTATGCTCAAGTGCTTCTTGGACAATGACGGCCAACTTGACCCCAACCAGGTCATGGAATTAGACATCTCTGGCCAAGGCTATCAAACTTTGGCTGTCTTCGACTGACTGTAAGGTGTCTGATTGAGTTTTCTTTATAAAAATGAAAGCAGCTTGGCATTTTGATGTCGTCTCTAGTTATATGTAAACTTATTTTTGGTTATTTTGTTATCAACTACAATGCTGAATCACTTGTCAATGTTGGGAAAAAAAATCCTCTGCTCTGTTTCCCCTCTCCCCTGTTTTTTGTTTACTGCGTTAAGTCCGCCAATTTTCAAATTAGATAAGAAAATCAAGAGTTCAGAAAAACAATCTGAATAAATAAATAAAATTTGTATTTCATCAGTTATTGATTCAGGTTACAACAAATATACCCCAACCCACATGCCCAAATGGGCTTTTCTCCCCAACACAGTTAAAAATTCACACAAAACATCCTCATCTAGGAAGTACTTCTGCTTATAAGCGATTCTAACAAAAGTGTTTTTATTATAAAAATCTTGAATTTTCATAAAAAAAAAATTAAAGTGCTTTGTGGAAAAGCACTTGGGAATGCTTCTTGAAGAAACACATAGCATGTGCTTATCCAATAAGCGCTTATATGACCCATAAGCGCATCTGAACTTTTTTGCCAAACATTGTCAAAAATGCTTTTAGTTATCAGAAAGCGCTTTTGGCCTTTCCAGAAGCACTCTCAAACAGGAACCCTAGCCCAATTGACTGACGGGCCTACGTAATTTTAGAGAGCTTCTTAGATGCTCCTGCAACAAACTCCCAGGTTGGAAGAGACTCGTCCTCGAGTCTAAATTGTTATCAACGAAGACTCCACGAGAAACTTGAAATTGAAAAAACTCCCCAGGTTGGAAGAGACTCGTCCTCGAGTCTAAACTGTTATCAATGAAGACTCCATGAGAAACTTGAAACTGAATTCTTCCTTTCCAAACAAAGAGGTATCTTGAATATACTCCATGAGAAGCTTGAAACTGAATTCTTCCTTTCCAAACAACGAGATATTTTGAATATCGAACCACTCTCAAATACTCATGTTTATTTTTTCGTATGTTTTTTCTGGAACCCACCAACCAGTCTATGTCACATGTTTAGTACGCTAAAGCCTACATGATGAATCATTGACGTTTCTTGATTTAGAAAACCCTTTTTCCATATTTTTCTGTTGCTGAGATTTGCTTTGGTGCTGAGTTGCTTGTGGATCAATTTGAGTTCGTTGTGACATTTTATTAATCAAACAGGTTCACAGTCGCTCACATACGCTGAAATTTACTATTTAGCTATTAACGTCCCTAAATTTGCGAGACTTTTGCTTATAAGCGCTTATGTAAAGTTGTTTCTTTATTTAAAATTTACTGTGCTATCAAAAAGAAAAAGGAACATACATTTCTTTTTCTTAATTAAAAGAAAATCTATGGAACATGTATTATTATTCAATGAGGATGAAGGCAACCGGATATCTATAGAATTGTATCTTATTTTATATATGCATCACCATTGCTAAAAACTAGGGGCAGAGAAAGACCCAAAGACAAGTACAACATGTAGGAAAGTTTTAGCAGTAAAAGTTACATATTGACAGCAAGGGCAAGACAATGGCAACTTCTTAGTTCTCACCTGCCTTCTCCTATAATGCCAGTGAGCATTGATTCAGTGACATTTACCGGAGACGGCGAAAGGTCAATCCCGGTGCTAGCACCAGTTGTGCTCCCTTCAGGCTGATGGCTGAGATGAACATTGAAGTCAGTTGATGGGGTATCATTATCCATCAAAAAGCTACTTGTGGTTACATCTTTGAAATCCCAATCTGTCAAATAACTTGGCTTTGAAATAACAGTGCTTACTTCAATATCTCCAGAGAGCATTGCCACTATGCGTGACATTGATGGCCTCATCATTGGTGATGCCTGAGTGCAGAGGAGAGCTGTTTTTATCAATCTAGTTGCTTCATTTTCATCAAACTCTGTCAATCTCGGATCCACCAGCCCCAAACTCTGGTCGTTTTCATGTAGAGTCCATGCCTGAAAACAAACATCATGGGCATGGCATGGTTAAAAAGGAAAAAAGGAAAAAAGTAAAGAAGTTTTCACAACAATGCTAAAATAAAAGTAGCTGGGCATATTGTTTTCCTACCCATTCAAGAAGATAAATCTTTTCAGGATCCAAGTTGTTGTCTGAGTTTGGCCTCCCGCTGAGGATCTCCAAAGCAACAACCCCGAAACCAAAAACATCAGCCTTTTCTGTCAGATGTCCGCGCATTGCATACTCCGGCGCCAAATAACCTCTACAAGATCATGAAATGGTTACTAAAAATGTTGCTTGGATTACACCCTAGTCACGATTAACAATGTATAACTTAAACGAGGGCTTACATTGTCCCTGCAACCCGGGTGCTAATGTGGGTTTTTTCGTCATCATAAAGCTTTGCCAATCCAAAATCTGATATTTTTGGGGAGAGTTCTGCATCTAGCAAAATATTACTGGCTTTGACATCTCGATGTACAATCCTGGGCCTTGACTCCTCATGAAGGTAAGCAAGTCCTCTTGCTGTTCCCAACAATATATTGAAGCGGGTAGGCCAGTCAAGGTGCAAGTCATTTGTTCCTAAAACATTACATGGAGAAGAACCAATGCATGTTAACAACTAATAACAAGTAGAAGAGAAAAAGAAAAAGAAATTGGATGTAACCTTAGAGTACTTTAAACTGTGGAGTATTCTGTTTTTTTGCAAAATAGAAGGCAAAGTAGCAAAAGAATGTGCAGGTTTTTAATTTCATATGA